ATTACGAGATGAATGGACAAACCCTCGTATAGACCGGATGTGAGGTCAGAGTGCGCGATGTTCTTCAATTGTGCATCGTTGTCGAAACCGCGTTCGGCCAGATTTTTGTTGATTTTGTGTGCATTGATGAAGAACAACTCCCGACCCGAACTCAACTCGACACGTTCCAAGCCATCGTGTGCCTTCTTATCTCCACTTGCTTCTTCTCGACTACTCATTACTTTTTGCATTTCAACTTCTCACTGACACAAAATGTTCGTTTAACTAGCGAACGATCGCACTGTGAAGCAATCGCTCCGAATCCATCCAAAACATTCTCGCATTTAAGAGTCAGAGCGTTAAGCGATGATAAATAAAGTAAAAACGAACAAACATTATAAAGTATTCCAAAAGAAAATCAATCGACTTAACCACGTCTCTTCACGATTTTCACCAGAGAATCAATGAAAGCAAAGCAAAACAAAAAGAATTCCAAGAATCAGTTTGAGGAATTGGCCATTCAGAATGGAATGAGCAGCCAGCCAAACAACCAAATGCAATGCAATCAAATGAAATACACTCAAAAGCTGTCTGTCGTCCATTCGATGATTGTTTTAAAGTGAGTTTATGAGTTCTTCCAGTGTAGTGTGGTTGGTTGCATAATGATTTTGAGCAATAAGGATGATGAAGCAAACAACCGAATTATTATTCATTCGTTGAATTAGTAGTTTCGATGGAATTTGAAAATGTTTGAGAACGAAAATGTCAAAATTTAACGACTGAAAGTGCAATGAAAGTGTGCAGTTCGATTACCAGATGTAACAACGAGTGAAATGCATCAAAATCATACAAATAAAAGTAATAACCAAATCCATCAATTACGCTTTCAAATAAAGCGTAATTGATGGATGGATTTGATAATTATTTCTCAGCGATACAAATTGAAAACGCTTTTAATGAAGCGAACGCTCTGGCAATAGCAGAGAATGTAATGGTATTAATGAAAATGTCATTAATAACACCACCACCATTAACAATAGTAATTGCCATGTGATACAAGACACTCGTCATTTATCCGCTCAATATTTTCAGTCCTCAAGAGAGCGGTCGGTAGATGATGAATCGATCAAAGCAATCAATCACCCCAATTCACATCGGACTGTTTCATCCGTTTTTGAAAATCTTTCGACTGACAATCACGCAGTCAATAGCTTGTTATCATAAACCTCCTGCGATTAAACCATCAAATCCAGACACACTCCCACTCACGATGCCATTTTTTCAGCTGATAATCATAAAATAACCCCATCATGCTTTGTCCCACAATGTCTTGACTAGAACCAATCTAGTTATGAACATCCGAGAGATAAACCTATCAGGAGGGTATAAGCCTACCTATTTAACAAATGACGCTATGCCCTAAACAATATCGCATATTCGTTTGCTTTATGCAATCATTAATTAGCAGCAATTTTGTGTGTTTGACAATTTCATAAGCATGTCTAATGAAATTTTATTAAAACTGAAACGACGAGTGCAAAATGTCTAATGAATTAATTGCATGCAATCAAATCGCTCACAAACCAGTAAGTAACGAATATGTAGATATAATAAACAGCATAAGGGTCTACGATAACGAAGAATGTGCACTATATTTAAGACAGCTTACAAATGGATTATTCGTGCTCCTCCTCAAAGCAACAACCGCCCTTTGTGCATTTCGTCTTTCTGAAAACATCATCATCTCACTGATAATTCATTCATTCATATCATCTGTTCATTACACAATAAATCCTTTAACCCTTATAAAACGCGATACCAAAAATCCCAAAACGCGAGCGAACAAGTATGGAACTTAATCATAGAAAAGAACCATGAATTATAGCCATCATCANTTATCGTTACTGAATGATTACGGTTACAGTCACTCACTCATACAATATACAATACTATTCAATCAGATATTCACGCAACAAAGACAAATTTACTCGTCGTCAATTGTCACTATTGGATATATAGATGAAGTCAAAGTAATGAAACGAAAAAGCCCAAACAAGCACATTCAAAGTAAATGACCATGTGCTATAATTCACTGCTCTATTTTTATAAGCGTTATTATAATTCAGCAAATACTCACTCTCCGTATCATAACATTTTCCAATTCAATCGCTGCGCAGTAATATCCAATATTGATGATGGTTTCGAAGAAGCAAAACTCATTCGATCGGACAATCAAAAAATGACGAGAACAAGTCTAAATTGAATGGAAGAGAAAGAAAAACAATTTGAAATGGGATCAAAACAATAGAGCATTACAAACCAATAATGGCCAGAAATCTGATGCTAGACGGGTGTGCATGAGTGAGTTAATAAGTGGATATGCAAAGAATATCTGAATCCACCGGAAGACGACAAATCATGACGAGAGGGTGAACAAACAAACAAATCAAACGGTGATAATCACAACCAACAACAACAAATACTTTTCCTTTCTAGCGTTCCTTACAAGATCAACTCATCTGAAGCAAGAGAAGATTAATCCAACCGTTTAATCCGCATTACCGAAGATTTGATATTGCAACTTATTTATCGCAATGAATGATTGATTGCCCTCAGTGTCCCAATATCTTATAAAGATGATCCACAACCATCACTATGCCCAAAGATTTTGATTTCTTCATTCAATCCCTTTCGTCTCCCTCATTCCAATAAAAACAAACAATTCAGTGGCCACACAATAATGAATAAACGAGAAAACCACATAAATAAACGAATAAAAAGTAGCACAATGAAAAGTGACACTTCGCATGCATCATCAATTCATTCAAAAGATATAAAGGCCAATCAATTGAAACAGAGCAGAACAAGACAAGAATCCATAAAAACAGTCGACTGCTCGCTTGAATACTTCAAGCTTGCCCAAATTGGCTAGGTTGCCGAATACTTACGCGATCAGGTGATCACACTGGAGATACCAGCGAGAAAAATGATAAACGATAAGAAATCGATTGGGTTCAAGAAAGCTGCCTGATATTTCAGTGTTACAGAAGTCTTATAGGCGAAGACCTATGAAATAGAATACAGTTTTAGAAGGATTGTTAGGGAAATCAAAAAGAATGGATGAAAGGAAAACAGAAACAGAAATACGAACGAAACAACTGAAAGGAAAGCTCATAATCAAATGAAAAGGCAAATCATGACGATATTGATAATTAATTGATCAATCGTAAATAAATGCATTGTATAAAACCATTAATTAATCATTGAGAATAATGCAAATTCTTCAAAGTCACCACATATGAAAACAACAAGTAATGTGAAATAAAGAATTTCACTGATCGTTTCTTCTCTTTTGCCATCGAAACGATTCAATGTGATCCCCTTCAACTGATAAAATTTCAACACAAATACGTTTTTGAACGATGCAATACGAAAAAACGATCACTTGCATTTGAAATAAATTCCAAACAAAGAAAGCAACAGAGTTGATGTAGAAAAGTGCAAGCAAGAGGAAGTAAACCGACGTCCCAAAAGGCTCATCACGATGGTAAAAGTTAAGGGTAAGTGCGCAAGCTTCGTGTTATCGAGCACCAGATAAGGCAGATCCCACTAAGGTGTTTATCGTACCTCCGTACCACGAATGGTTTCGTTCCTCTTCTTTCGACAACACCACATTCAACTGCTCCTTGGTGAACTTCGCCACCGTACCAATCACGCGTGCCAATGTCTTCAATGAACTCATTTGTTTATCAAAACTGATAAAACAAATAAAACCAAATTCACAAATCAAAGTCAACAGACAATCAACCACTCACAATGCTCTCCTTTCCAAGCATCTCTCGTTCGCTCATATATCGATACAGCACATTACGAAGATACTGAAATAAACCTTCTTATAATATAATATTTTCAATTGCAACATTTCCATAAAATAATCCTACATTTCTTCAGATCAGAGTTTATCTTTCGATAATCACTTTCACAAACAATTAACTACTCACTTCGGCTTCGGTCGGTTCAGCAAACTCGAAATTTGAATCATATGAATTATGCAGATCCGCTGCGTGATCGTGAGACGACTCATAATTCT